CTCTCGCAGCAACACAGATTCTCCTTCTACAATTCTAAATATGTCGGCTTTTCGTGCCTGCACCTTTTTGGCCTCGACATGAGCCTTAACAAAAGAATTCGCGAGCATCTCAAAGGAATCTATGGAATGCTCGGGTAACAACGAATACCACATCAAGGCTCCCATCGTGAGAGTCTCTCCAAATTTTTTTAGCAAAACAGATTCAATCTCGTGAGGAGCTAAATCATTCCCCTTCACCGCCATTGTATAGGTAGTAATATGCTCCTGAGGGTTTGAAGTTCCATCATATTTTGGCACGTCGGGCATTTTAAGCTGCTTCGGGATTAATTCTGGTGTCGCGCTTGGTTTGTACAGCAACTGAGTATACTTCTTTTAGTCTGGTCCTTTTAGCACCGGTGGTGCGCCCGGGATTTGGTCCATGCCGGTGTTCACTTCTCTCATAAACCGTAAGAGTTCATTCTTGAAGGGATCGTTTTCGTTATTGGGGCCAGATCTGCTCCCCCCCAGCCCCATCGAAACCAACCTCGCTCCTCGGGTGTTGTTGTCGACCCTCTGCGTTATTTGATTTGCGGAAGCGTCGGGAGGAACTGGACCTAGTCTATTTATATTATTGTAATCCTCCAATAACGCATGCTTCAACTCCGTCATAACCTTATCCTACCATGTGAGGTGGCCTAGAATGATCGCTTGTTACTCTTGTAGGACGTTTACCGCATCAACAATATGTTCCTCTTCAGTATCATCGAGAGTTGCCTCCCGAACATGTGGTGGGTACCGCCTGTCGTGGACCGGTGTGGCATCGTTCTCCTCATTGTGGGTGTCACTGACTGAATCCTCGAGATGAGGCTGGTCTCCTTAAACCTCAAGATTGTGTGTGGTGTTAACACCACTATCTGGCATTTCTTATGATTTTTTGCTAAGACAAATAATCAAAACGTGTTAGTAAACGAGGCAAGGATCAACTTACTTACACGGGTGTCTAGGTCCCACGGTGAGCGCCAAACTGTTTACCCGTAAAATGATACAGTTGAATTTATATGTGGCTTGTAGACAAATGAATTAATTTGATCCTGAAATAATGAAGTAATTAAAGAAATGCGCAATACTTAGCCATGAAATAGAGATAAGATCACAAAGAACAGTAATTCTGGGGACAGAGCTTTCGAGCACAACAATGATAAAACCAAGGAACATGAAAGTAAAATTGTGTAAAGTTTTTAATCGATTATAGCGTAAATTTGCCAGAAAAGTCGTGCTCATTACAATGATAACAGAGCTCACTATTAATAGTTACGCCTAGGGAACAAGGTCCCAGGATCGTGTCCTTCTTTAATGTCAATTATGAGGGCCATTGACGGTGAGCATAAATAATAAATTCTATGTAACGGGTAGCGCACTACATGCTGTAGAATATTCTTCATTAAATGCTACCGGTCGGAAGGTATTTGTTGTATTTTTACGAGTGTCATTCTTTCCGGTGACAAACAGAATAATTGCATTCGGTTCTAACTATCCCCGCCTTAAGTTTCACGTATCACCCTTTTAAGCTGCCACTTAGCATAGCATATTTTACCGTATACATAAAAAAACTACTATTTGGGCCCCAACTCTATTTTTGCTTCTCATTTTTGGGAACCCAAATAGCTTAGTTAGATCAAACCTACCATACACCCTATCATGAATGTCTCCACTTTAAGCTAGTGGACAATACAAAAACTATTCAATTGATGGACTAACGTATCCGTTTAAAATTAATTGTAGACCACTCTTCACTATGATTTCAAGTGGTTCTATTTTTCCTTCGTCAAGATTAATTAAGATTGGATTTATTGTGAACTTTCGTGTGCGAAAACTATGCAATAGCGTATAGCCGATGTCTTAGACGTGTTGAAGTGAAAGCCCTGGTATTATTAAACTTAAATGATGTCTTATGATAAAATTTCATAAAAGATTATCAGTACCTATGCTTCATTTTCTGATTGACTTTAACTAGACATTTTAGGAAATGGCCATTTATTATGCTTTGTACCTAAGGAACCAAAATTTTCACACTTGGGACCATCCATCAACTCTTCCTCAAAGAAGAGCTAATTATTAGGGGACACGAAATCTGAATATGAAGTTGCAATAGATTCTACTTGTTGAACAATTTTTCAGGGTGAAGTTAAGGATCATTCGAATTTGGACTGAAATGTTGCCTCGTCACAGACCATCTAAATTTACTTCTTTTTAGGAGAACTAGCTTAAATACGTAACTGCCTAAACTAAAAATAACTGACAGATGTATTATATATATAATTCAAGTATAGTATGTGTCATGTATGTAATCATGTATAATCAATATAAAATCTATATATAAAGACTAGGAAAAATAAAGAGTGAATCTGGCCGGCTAAAGACCCCTATTTAGAAGAGGGAAAAAAATATTTTTGGATTGCTACTTTCAAGTCCAATCGTGAAAATGTGATAATTTTTTCTTCAAGCTTGATTGCGTTGTTTACCCTTAAAACGGATAACAATTAAATTTATACGCGGTTTTAAGGATATGTGGATTGATTCAACACAAATAATCAAGATTATTAGATAAACGGGTTAAAGACAAAATGAATAGTCAAACCAATTATAATGTTACGGCCCATCTCGAACTTAGGTTGATGAGCAGTAGTTTTGCCCTCGATTAGACCCTTGGTTCGAAGTCAATTGTGAACGAAGAACAAACAGTAAAGTAAAAACTTGGCAATAGCTAGAAAGCAGAAAAATGAATTTGTATTGCCTTGGTTTGCATGTTACAATGTGTCTATCAAAAGAAAAAACCTCCCCTTTATATAGTAGGAGTATTTCATCCCTAGTACAAGTCTAAAAAAGATAAAAATCTTCCTTTCCCATTAATTACTGATCCGTAATCGACATCGAGCGAGATCCACGCCGTGATATCCGGTCAGGTACGAATATCGATGCCCTCTATCCGTCGTGTATAACCGTTTACCGTGTTTCTCGAGGTTTTAGAATTCGTTCTGAGTCCGGAGAGCGTTGCTTTAATGTGCCCGGTGATGAACACATCGTTCTTTTTCCGTGGGTCTCGATACGAAAGGTTCCCGACATCGATTTCAGTCTCGTACGGCCGTACCCTTCTTCCGTTTTCTTCACAGGGAAATCGGGGTATGCTCAATCCCCGATTTTACCCGTATACATGCGTATTCAAAATTTGTTGAGAATTCAAATTTCTTCGTATAGTAATTGTCATAGTGTATGCCCGATACGTTCAGAATGTATTGCTGATATTCATTGTGTGGAGGAAATTTTTTTAATTTAAATTTGTGCTTCGATACATGTAGCTTCCCTCGTAGAAGGAAAATGCCAAGATTGGCATAACATGAGATTGTTTTAACCTAAGATTCATGGCACAATAAACCTTTTTGGATTTGGTTTTTAGATGCCTCAATCAATTCCGTGGTGATTTTCACTATATGCTTTGATATATGCAATGGTATATACAAGATTTTTCTAAGCAATATCGGACTATTTGACTTGTAAGTGAAAACAGTAGATCTAGCTAGGATCATAGTGATTTTAAGGTTTTACCTCCTGTTTGAAATTGATATTTACTTTATATTGTTTTCATGCATTGTGGGTCTATTTATATGTACACGTATTGCTTATTGGAAAAACATTATTCAAATACATATATACATAAGAAATAGTATATAATTTTAAAATCTGATCACTTATACTGAAATCATGAAGAATCAAGTCGTGTTAGTTGACCACCAATGTTCATAGTTTGGTCATGATACCAATTGAAGTACTCGATAGTCGATACAATAGGTGTGAGTTTAATTCTTACTAATTCCCTTCTCCTTCCCCAATTTCCCAAAGTAATAGATTTTTTAAAGGAAAAAAAAACTTATGATCTCGATCAAGTCATGTGTTAGTTGGGTTGTTTAAACAATTTCCTTCGATTGTTAATATAGTTGGTGAACTAATTCTACTTTACAGCAGAGAGTGTGATGAATCATCTTCTAGTAGTTAAATTAGAACCTGAATAGGTCAACTAGTAGATGATCATCTTAGTTTGTCATTTAGCAGATGATAACAAGAAACTTAGTTTAGTCTGCTTGATCAGACAATAAAATGTTCAATCAAAATACTTTAAATATTTGTGTTATTAATTAAGGTATCTTAAACATAAAGTTATTGTAGCATATGACATGATTCCTAAAAAGATCTTCTTGGTTTAATTCGTGGGAAGTTGACCTTAAGTATTCTCCTAGTTTAATGAGCAATAATTTGGATCTTCCTAGTAATTTGAGTTCTCAACATTAATCAGTGCAAGAAAAAAAATGGGTAAATAAGGAAATTTAGGAATGAGCCTCTGTCGTAAAGATGAAATTTATAATCTTTTTGACCTTTCAGCATTGAGGAGGTTTCCTTTTGAATTTCAAAGGAATGAATTTGATATTTATAAAATAAGGAATATGGTGCTAGATTAGACTGAATTTTCTATAAGAGAAATGCCAAAATTAAATGTTAGAAAGACACTGAATGATGCTTTTCAGAACATCAAAAGATTCAAAGGAAAAAGTTCAATGTTTGATCAACTCAAAGAACAAACTAAATCAATTTTCTTTCCCACTTTTGTCAAAAAGAGGAGAAAATTTTGTCGAGCTTGTCAGAAAAAAAACTCCATTATTATAGGGAAAGAATGGAGAAAAAACTTGTCTTTTTGTTTCATTGAAGATCTCTTCTGTTGATTGTAGTGGAAAAGTAATAAGTAGAACATACCCATATAAAATAAAAGAGAGAAAAATAAACTATTTGCACTAGTAGCCTCCATTAAAACAACATCCTCTGTACAAGACAAGATGGGATCAAGAAAGATTTCTCCAATGAAAAAGACTTGTTGTTGTTAGACCTTTTTATTTTTCCACCAAAAGTTGAATGAAGTAACCCTTTTTATGCTCTCTCTCTTTTTGTCTAACTAATAATAGGAGAGAGAGAATTCATCTATCTCCTACTTGAGATGAACTTGCTGATCTTGAATACTTGTTGGAATTAGGTGAATAAGATGATGATAAATCAGACCTTCTCCTTAACATCTGCCTCATACCATCAGCTACTTTAGTTGCTGGATTTGACTTATATTTTCTACAAAATGACATATGTGCCTTCACTGCTTCTTCCATGCACAGAAATTGCTTTTTTCCTCTGTTCACTTCATCTCTAACTGCTTCTGAACACAGTCCACATAGCCATTTCCCATCAAAATTTTCCTTCACTTGACTAATGTAGTCTTGTGTGCAATCTTCTTTTAGACCACAACACTCACACTTTGCCAACTCTATCTCCATTTCTTGAATCAATCACAAAAAGGATTTATTAGTATTTTGACATATGGATTTTGGGAAATGAGATGAAGAAAAGGGTGGGAAATTGGGAGAGGAGGAAGTGACAACTTATAGTGGGGAAGAGTGGCATAATTTGCTCCATGTTATGAGATGAAACAACTTGGTCTAGGAGAGGGTCCCCTTATTATTATTGTTTATTAGCAGTGGCTCGTTGTTGCATTTTTTTCAAAAGAAACAAGAATGAATGGGATTTTACTACTATACTCCTATTCTTTTGTTCTATTAGCATGTCACTTATTGTTATTGTTTTGTTAATTGTTACTTTAGGTGGTAGTTTTTGCCTTTGCCTTGAATGACGGTTACTTTCGGTTAGGACTGTTCATCGATTTCCAAATAGAACAAAAACAATTCTGATTTTTTTAATGTCGCGGTAGTTACGTTTGGTTTTCAATTTTTACAAATATATTTGACGGATCAAACTGAAATGCCGTTTTGATGGGGAAAAAAACTGAAATACCGGATTTTTTAATTATATTATATTAGTAGTCATACAAGCGCGATGCGCGGTCAATATTAATTAAATTAAATTGTGATTGGCTTGTTTGAACCTATTAGATCGTACTGCCTTAATAAATTTTAATTTTCTATATTATATTATTCAATGTTTAATATTATTATATTATTAACATATTACTTTGTTTAATATTTTTGTCTGCTCGTTTTCTTGTTGTAATATAGGAGAAGATATATATTTTATTATTGTTGAAATATTTTTTTTATTTTAAATTTTATTATGTTGTTCTCAATAATATTGTCTGAATTTTAATGACTAAAATCTCTATTAAATTAAAGGGACTTATATAAGCATTGAATAGATTTTTTGTTATGTATTTTTCTTGATTATATTAACCAATATTTAGTATTATTACATTATTAATAGAAATTTTTATTAGCATATCACTTTGTTTAATATTTTTGTCTACTACTTTCTTATAGTAATATAATAGAAGATGTAAATTTTATTACTCTTGAAATAATTTTTTATTTTAAATTTTATTCAATTGTTCTCAATAATATTGTCTTAATTTGAATGAATAAAATATTTATTAAATTAAAGGGACTTATATACTCATCGAATAAATTTTATGTTCTGTATTTTTCTTTATTATATTTTCCAAAGTTTAGTATAATTGCATTGTTAATAGCAATTTTTATTAGCATATTAATTTGTTTAATATTTTTATTTGTTACTTTCTTTTTGTAATATAATAGAAGAAATATATTTTATTACTCTTGAAATATTTTTTTATTTTAAATTTTATTCTATTGTTCTCAATAATATTATCTGAGATTTAATGAATAAAATCTCTATTAAATTAAATGGACTTATATAGACATTGAATAACTTTTTTGTTCTGTATGTTTCTTTATTATATTAACCAATATTTAGTATGATTACATTATTAACTTCTATTTTTATTAGCATAAAACTTTATTTAATATTTTTGTATGCTACCTTTGTTTTGTAATATAATAGAAGATATATATTTTATTACGCTTGAAATATTTTTGTATTTTAAATTTTATTATATTATTCTCAAAAATATTATCTGAACTTAATAAATAAAATATTTATTATTGTCACGACCCAAAACTCACTATTGGCCATGATGGCGTCCAACGTTGTCGTTAGACAAGCCAACGGTGAACTACCAACTTGACTGTGTATTTTATTATTTTTGAAATCGTGAATTTTATTAGATAAAGAAATCAACGCATTAAAATCATGAAAACTTACACTTTAAATAGAATAGATAATAAAAGTGTATAAATGCTAAGCAAAATCACAAACAACATCTAGAACATCCTAAAATCTGGTGTCACAAGTGCATGAGTATTTACTAAGGAGTACGATAATAATACAGCATCTGCCTGAAATGTAAGTAAGGCAGGATAGAATAAATAGTACGATGGAGACTCTGTGGGCTGCGATACATAGCCTGAATGCAGCTCACCATAAAGTCTCCTCAGCAGCTGTGCCTACGCGCCAAGATAACCACCAATTCAACCTGTCAGATCTTGCACATTTAGTGCAGAAGTGTAGTATGAGTACGTAAATCAACGAGTACCTAGTAAGTATCTAGCCTAACCCCAGAGAAGTAGTGACGAGGGGTCGACATCGACACTTACTAAAGGTCCAATAAAGCAATATGATAAATCGTAAGCATATATGAAGCACAACAAAAATAATGGGGTAAAACTATAAGTTACATAATCTTACATAAATTTCTTTTAATGATCTAATTTTTCTCAGTCTTGTATTCTATCTCAACATACCAGATATATCAAGTGCCAGTATCGAATGGATAAAGAATACCATATAAAATGTCAGACATCGGTGGGAGGATAAACTCGTGAATATTCGGATGGCTAGCGATATAACGCACGATTATGCAGAGGTCGTACGACCAGATCCCGAATAATGTGTACACTACCGAGGGTCAAGCGGCACGAACCATAGATGCATCTATTATACTGCCAAAGCGTTCGGCCCGCTCCACAAGAAAGGAAGAAACTTATCGAATTACGAGTCACATGCTTACAACATAGATATAGGTGCATAATAATAAATATACCCTTTTACGTTAATTAAATATCTTGGCAACAACTCAAGATGATAATGCTCGGCCTAATATATTTATATGTTTCTAAATCAATTTCAGTTATAATTTTAATTAATTAAGCTAGCAAAATGAGTCCAAACAATTCAAATATTACATGATAAAGTCCTAAGTCTACCGGAACATAAACATGCTTTAGATACGTACGGACTTTCGTCACCTTGTGCGCATGTAGCACCCACAACTAGTAGCACATAACAATTTTATCACCTAGGGGGTAGTTTACTCCTCACATGGTTAGACATGAGACTTACCTCGCTCCGAAATTCCATAATCGGCTCCCGCGCCTCTCCAACACCTCAAACCAAAGCTCATCGATCCGAAATTAGTCAAACAATGTGCAAACTAATAAAAATACACTCTAATACTCATAATTAATCAATTCATAACAATTTTCAACTTCGTACGAAAAGTCAACAAAGTCAACCCTCGGGCTCATGTGCCCGGATTCTGAAAATTTTCGAAGATAAACTTTACCCATAACATAACAAACTCAAATATATAATTTATTCTAAATTTCATGTCCAATTTTGTGCTCAAAATCCAAAAATATGATTTCTAAGTTTTTCTTCAAAAATCCCACAATTTTCACTAATTCTATATTCCAAATTTGTATATAATCCATGTATTTAACTCGAAACAAGTGGGAATAACTTACCTCACAATAAATGGTGAGAATCTCCTCTTCAAGAGCTCCAAAAACTGTCCAACCAAGTTAAAATGTAAGAGGAATGGACTAAACCCCGAAATAAAGTCTTAATAACACTCTCCGATGTCGCATTTGCGAAACAGGGGTCGCATTTGCGACCTTTGCAATTGCAGACAAGTGTTCGCAATTGCGAACAAAGGAAAAAATCTACGGGCTTCGCAATTTGCGAGTAAATGTTCGCAATTGCTAAGAAAATTTCGCAATTGCGATGCCTGAGCACCAACAACACCAGCAATCTTTTCTGACACGGAAATGGGCATAACTCTCTCATACGACATCGGAATTTGATGATTCTTGTTGCTATGACTCCGTAATTACGATACAGATCTAATGGTTCAATCCAATCACAAATAAATGGTCGTTTGCTCAATATAGTATCCTTTATACCCAAGAAAACGATATTGAAACATCAAATAAGAGCGTGACACAACCCAAACACATCTGAAACACACTCGAGGCCCTCGGGACCCCGTCCAATTACAGAAACCAGTCCTAAAATATAACATGAACCTGCTTGAGGCCTCAAATCACACCAAACAACACCAAAACGACGAATCGACGATCGAAACCTTTCTTTAAATTTTCAAACATTCAAACTTCGACGAACGCGTCCGATTCATAATTAAACATTCCGGGATGATGTCAAACTTTACGCACAAGTCACAAATCATGATACGAACAATTTCAAAACTCGGAATCTCAAACGGATATCGATAACACCAAAGTCCACTTCAAATCAAACTTAAGAAATTCTAAAACATTCAAAATGCCAACTTTCCATATTAAGCGTCGAAATGCCCCCGAATCACTCGATACTCAACCCGAACATACGCCAAAGTTCAAAATCATCATACAAACCTATTGAAACCTTCAAATCCCTATTCCGAGGTCGTTTACTCGAAAGCCAAACCCTTATCAACTCTTCCAACTTAAAGCTTCCGAATTTAGAATTTTCTTTCCAAATCAACTACGAATTTTTCGAAATTCAATTTCGGCCGCACGTACAAGTCATAATACCTGAAGTAAAACTACTCAAGCCCTCAAACCGTCGAACAACGCGCTAGAGCTCAAAACGACCGATCGGGTCATTACAATTATATTAAAGGGACTTATATAGTCATCGAATAACTTTTATGTTCTGTATTTTTCTTTATTATCTTATCCAATATTTAGTATAATTGCATTGTTAATAGAAATTTTTATTAGTATATTACTTTGTTTAATAGTTTTGTCCACTGTTTATTTTGTAATATAATAGAAGATATATATTTTATTACTCTTAATTTTTTTTATATTTTATTCTATTATTCTCAATAATATTGTCTGAATTTTAATGAATAAATAAACTTTTTATTTCTAAAGAAACGAAAATTATTATAAAAAAATAAAGAAATTAACTAACCTAAATCTACCATCACCCATGTTTGAGTAGTTAATTTTAGGTAGTTAATTTCTTTGTGTCTTTTTTTTAAAAAAAATTTTTAAATAATTTTTGAATCTCCAAATATATTGAAGGTTTGTCTTAAAATTTGACACTTGCTAAATTTTTGTTGTTTTACTTAGAATCATCACATTGATTTGCTTCTCTTATTCTATGTAGATGAATTATATTA